TTCGACACCCTCACGTCTCAGAATTTGTTCATTTTAACCTTACTTGTAGTCCATATTAAAAAAATCTTGTAAACATCTGACATCCCTTGTAAACATCTGACATATTGGATCTAATAATGTATCCCTGACTGCAACAGTTTTGAATATTCAAACCTAGCTATGCAATCATATCAGTGAAAAGCTTAGCTTTTCACTGATACGATTTGTGTGTTGAAGCTAAAGCTTCAACACACAAAAATCGTTTTTTAATTTACCAATTAATTTCTTTTTTATAGAGGAGAAAACAAATAACAAAGGTTATCTGCTCCGTTTGAGATGATTTGGGGGTACCATCGGTTATGTTAGTGAAGTTGATCCTAGACTTCTTTGACAGCTGCACTTCAGATGACACCACCACGTTCTCTGATGAACTTATTTTGAGACAACGGAGAAAGTTACTGAATGCTCATTTTGGAGTCATCTTGTTGATGGCATCATATCTTCCGAGTGGGATGCAATGATGGGGTTGTGGCAACCAATAAGCTCCATAGCAGCAAAAAGGTTTCCAATTCCATTTCTCCTTCACGTGTGTTCTTTCACCTGCTAACATAACTGTGAGCTGGTAAAAAAAATGTATGCCTTTTTCCAATCTATGTAGAACTTTGTGTGCAATTTATAAGTTTCCCCCAGGGTCATTCCATATGAAATCATCCAGACCATGACACCTTTAAGTCTCCAAAAGTTATAACTGTAAAAATTTTAGTTAAAAATACACATGGCTTCCAGAGATAACGTCAGTTGAAATAATGCTGACTCAGCATTTTAGTGATTATCTGAAGCGACTACAAAGCAACTTTGACATGCAGTATCTTTGTAATGGCTCAGGGAAATTTCCTAAAATTTGGTACCCCATTAGATTATTACTTGAGGAATCCAAAAATAGTACCCTCAAGATTCGATTGTCTAAGGAAATGCTCAATTCTTTATTTAATTTTGTTCAAAATTATTGACTTGTAAATTCATGATTTTTGGAGGTATAATGAAGACTGTGGCCGTTTAAAAATTGTGTATTTTTAGAAAAATTTAAATATTCTAACGAAAGCAATTGAAATGTTTTTTAAAACATTTATTTGAATAAAACATTAGATAGTGTTATTTATTGACTAATTTATGACATTTATAGTCTTGGGATAAGGGAGGGCCAGGGGTCTCAGATCAACTCTTTTTTTATACTAAAAATGAATTAATAATAAATAATTATTAAAATTCAATTTAAAAAAATAATTTTTTTTTCAGTTTAAATATGAGAAACAACTTATTTTCATTATTTCAAATCTATAAACACTTGCCTCTTATTTTAAAGTAAGCACTCAAAACTGAGATCTTTTCATGATTTTAAAAATCATAAATTTTAAAACCAAAGATATTGAAATGTTTTTTAAAACATTTTAACAATCAATATCTTTATGGTATTATTTAGTAGTTTAAGACTAATATAGTCATTGACAAATGCGACAATGCGATTTATTTGGACATTTATTTGAAAAATGGACAATGCGATTTATTTTAACCCTCCTTCCATCCAAGGATTTGAAAAAAAGAAAAAAAGAAAGACAAATTCAAAATGCAAGATATGTTAATAAAATTACAACAAAATTATTTTAAATGTATTTAATTTTTTTTTGTAACCAACTGCTTATATTATCCAAATCTAAATCAGATATTTTGTATGTACAACTAGATATTGTTGTGGGTGTTGAAATTAGGCATATAACTTCAGAATTAAGCATCAAACACTCCTCATTTCTCATTGGCCAAAAGAAGTTTTTACCAGGTCCATGGGGATGCATAAATCTGACTTTTATATCAAGCTCACTTACATCTTCAGCAATCCTTACCTACCAAAATCCGTCATAAAAACATGCAATATAATCAATTTTTTTATAATTTAATAAAAAATATTGCACGATAAGTTACAATTTTTTTTTTGTGGCAAATTTATGAGATGTTTTTTGAGGTTTACTATGAACATAAGGTTAATTGAATGTTTTGTACATGCACATGCAATACCGAGACTAACTACCGAAAAACTAGGTTTTATTCCTTGTTTCTCTTTATTATGTTTGCTTTTTGGAATCAAATATCAAATATTTCAATACATGTTTCAATAACTATTTTTTTACAACTTAGAGTGTTGGAAGCAATTGGAATAAAATGATGATACATCCTTGTACCAAGAACTGCTCTTCCGCCTTAATATCTTTTTTCTCATTGTGCTTGTGTTTGGTTGACTTTATCTGTAGAAAATAATTTAAAACAAATTCCAATTATAAGTCCCACCATTACTATCACAGGGGGATTTACCATGCCTGATACAAAAAATGTCAATTTAGCATTTAAATCAAAGTCTTTACTGTGATTACAAAGATTGATAAAGTTTTTAAAACTTTAAATTATGCTGCTCAATCATCGGAAAAGTATTTCACACTTGATACACCAGGTAGATTTTCTTTGATATATC